TGTTGTTGTTGTTGGTGGTGGTGGTGTTGGTGTTGTTGTGGTCGTTGTTGTTGGTGTTGGTGTTGGTGTTGGTGTTGGTGTTGGTGTTGGTGTTGGTGTTGGTGTTGGTGTTGGTGTTGGTGTTGTGGTCGTTGTCGTTGTTGTTGTTGTTGTTGTGGTCGTTGTTGTTGTGGTTGGTGGTGTTGTTGTTGTTGTTGTTGTTGTTGTTGTTGTTGTTGTTGTTGTTGTTGTGTTCTTTTGTTGTTGTTGTTGTTGCTGTTGGTGTCTGCTGCAGTTTCTACTGAAGCTAATTAACTTAGTTAATCTAGCTGGCAGGTATGTAATCTGTAGCTCATAAACATAAATGGCCTGCAAGCACGCTTCCTCACAGAGCCTGTGCATCGCTCCCAGCCGCATCCAGTTTCTTGCGAAGTCTTGTAGATTCTGTTCGGCAAAAGCTCATGGCGAATCAGTGATCTACAAATTCGTAGGCGCTCGCAGAGATTCAGCTAGAGGATTCATACAACACTGCAGGTGGGAGAAGGACGGTCCCAGCTTCGAAACAAATTTGTCAATACTAAGTACCTGAACGCAAGGTCTACAAGTCACGGCCTTTGAGCCCGCGCAGCGTGGCCGTCCTGCATGATCTTGTGGGCCACAAGGCCGGCTATCCCTTGTGCCTTGCGATGTGACAAGGCTTGTGCCTGCGTACGGCATGAAGCCAAGAGCTATGCTGAGATTCTGAGATGATGGGCTGGCACAATCTGGGGGTTTCTGAAAATAGGGACCCCAATATAGCACCCTAAATAATAGGAGTCCTGATTATAAGGACCCCAAAATAAGGTACCCCTCATTTTCGGAGACTCCCATCTGGGCATCGGGAGCATTGCAGCGGTTGTCTCTAACGTGTGCGGCTGCGCAGAGTAGGGGGCGTCGTGTGCAGATGCATCTAGGTCCTGTTGCGCCATGCTGTCGACAACGGCATCTGAGTGCTGTGTGAATGTTTATGGTGTGCTTCTGAAACGTGCTCAGCTGTGTTGTTCCATTTGTTCCTTGCTACTCTGAAGCCGGAACCAAACGGCTGTTGTTGTAAGAACCCTGTGTGCGCCAGGGCCTAGTGGCCTAGCAGGCATTTCTGCTCGTCCTGCTCCTCCCGGTGTTGCTCTTTATGATTTCTTAAGTATCAGTTATAAATTCGCTATATGTATTCCAAGCTCAAGTATCAGGCAACTCTTCTGTTTATCCCCATGTTACTGTTAATCCTTATGTTCTTCCGATGTATTTCCTATTTTTCCTATGTCCCGTAAACCCTGAAATCCTATGTATGTCTTTTTTGTTCTCCTATTTCTGGAATTCTAGGTATCTTTAGGATTAACACCACTGAGATTGACATAAATGTAGCCTTGTTATATATATATATATATATATGATTATATATGTATATGCAGTTCTGTCCCAATTGAATCACGTCACAGACAGGCTTGTCATCGCCAGCCTGCCTCTGATGCTTCGGACCTCGACGAGTCCCACCAGGATCGTGCTTGGCATCGCACATCCCATGCGGGTACAGCAGATAGCCAATGCATGACTACTGACTTTGATTGAATTTTGGATGTGGTCCGCACGCTCACATCTGACTCCAGATGTCGCAGTGGAGGCAGGGTTTGGTGCTTGTTCTCAGGGAAGCAGCTGCGAGTTTGACTCTGTGCGTGGTGGCGCGAGGTGACATCCTGACATCACAGGAAGCCATGCCTAAGGCAATCACCTGGTAAAAAAGGTCTGCGGTGGTGGTAGCTATACAACACATCGCCGCCTACTTCTGAGGCAGATGTAAAGAAGATGGAAACAACAACGAAAAGTCACTGAAGCGTCTCTACATCATGTTCCACGATCCGAAGCCTAGTATTGAACCACGTGTCACCGACCAAGGCATAGGAAATCGTCCAGCGCACACACTACTCGTGAGTGGTAACATGTACTTCGTTGTGCTCCGTCGGTCTATGCGTATGCCAGCCAAGCCAAACCCTAGCAATGCCCTCGAGCCGCGATTCGAGTTCAGCCAGTGTTATCACCCCGAACCTCATACACTTCGCCGACTCAAGACCACATGCCTCGCCTGGATTGTCCGAGTGTGAGCGCTGATACCCCAAAACCATTCGCCCCGTACGAGAAAGGAAGACAGACGATGCTTCGATCTGCCAGGAGCCGGAGCGGCTGAGCGAACCGGAGCCTCAGCCGGGGCCGTCCGAGGTGGAACCAAAGCTTCCGAGGTGCCCTGTCAACTGAAGATAGGACTAGAGGACTTCTTATGCAGTCAACCTTTACAGTGGATGTGTAACTGTGTAAAGGATATATAGGACTTAGAGAGCCCTTCCGGACGAATCGCACGGCTTGGAGAATTTTAGCGGCATCTGCGGCGTCTGAAGGCAGAAACGGGATTTGAAGCAGGGACAGAGAGACTTGACAAGATTGATTTCAATTTCGCCGGGGCAGGCATGGCTTGAGCGGCTTGATAGGCTCAGGGCTTGAGACTGCCATGGTGCCAGGTATCCGAGGATCAAAGATTATGCAAAAACTGCGAACCCCCAGGAGCCCAAAGCCCAACTCCCGGAAGTAGTCGAGTCGATGAGCTGGGATGGACTCACGGCTAAGGCTTTGGAGAGCCGTTGCCGACCGGGAGCTGGAAGAGGTGTGCTGCAGTTTTCCTTCTGCATAAGACAGCGCGGAAGACATACCGTTTAAGTTTTACGTTGAGCCAGCACTATGTTGTTGTTTCTGGGCCTTCGATCTGGAAGCCAGAAGGCATGTATTTATTTTTCAAAACACTGCACTACTGCCGCTACTACCGTTTAGCCTTAGCCGGTGCTTTGTCACTTGTGTCCATGCAGCCCCGTGTCGACAGAGGCCGAGACCGCTGTCCGCGAAGCCTCGTTGCGGAGATTGGAGACCGAGGCCACGAGAGCGAACCAAGCCACCATAGTATACGCATCCACATTACATCATACTATGGCATGCTAGTACTGATGTTATGAGATTGTATGATGTTACATGTTAGCTATGCCGGCCATACCGTCATACTTATTAGTTGTACTTTGACACGTTAAGAGATGTCACACTGCATAGCAATATCTACAGCGACACATTGCAAATATATGCGGATGCATGTACTGCAATGTTCTGAAATGTGTTGCGGATATATAGTATTATGTTCTAATTAAGATACTGCAATGTCATGCATTGTGCTATAAAGCTCACTTTGACCGAAATCTACTTTATGTCTTGTCGTTGCCGGTGTGTTGTCGACTTGTCATGCGTATAAGGTGTATGAGTGGCAGCTTACACCATGCTGTTTATTGCCACACTTTTGTAGAGCCTTCGCCTCACTCGAGCCCTTGCAGCCGGCACCAGCGTGCAGACGATACTGTGCCTTGAACGGCTTTTGTTATGCCGGGACTCTGAAACCGAGTTCTGTCGGAAGAAGCAGGCTAACCAATTTTTCCAGAAAGCCATCGCTTTTCGTCGACCTTGAAAATTGAACATTAGGATCCTTATCATGCAAAAGAATCGCGATCCTACTATTCAGGGTGTATTATACAAGAGACGTGCATGTTTAAATGCAGCCTCATCTCTGTCTGTTTTCCTGTCAGAGGTGCGCCTGTTGAACACCGAGCTCCAGGAGTGGGTCGTTTCGCCACCGCATCAGACATTGTGGTGCACTGATGTGCACTGTATGCCTTATGCTATTCAGGATCCTTATGGTGCAGGCCCCGGGCCCGAGTTGGAAACCCCCATCTCCCAGAAGCACGGGGCAGCCTGGTGCCAGCAGGACATGCAGCAGGAAGGCACCCAGCTTCGACTCCGTGCGCAGACAGCCGAGGCATGCACGCCAATGCTGTAGCGTAGTTTGCAGGCGAAGCATGACAGCCATCTGCAGCATCGCTCGCAAGCTTCTCGTGCGCTGTAGGCCATGGTGTCTGCGCTGATGCAAGAGAACCAGGCCTTGGTAGAGCAGTTGAGGCCAAAGCATTAAGCCTCTTCTACGGAAGGCCCCTCCTTGCACAGCTTTTCTTACGACCTTCAGGTCTCACTTAATTCCACAGCTTGGGGGCCACCAGTGCCCTGCAAGTTAGAACGTCCCCGCAGATCTCTCGTCAAAGGTCCGGGTAAATTTTCATGCAAGCAGATCATGTTGCTTTTGTTGGGGTTGGCTTGTTGTGTCGGGATGAGGGACCATGGCTGGCTGATCCGTGGCTGCGGACCCAGTCGGGAATTCGACACTTCGCGCGGGGGATTGGAGCTCCGTCGCAGTGAAGTCGGCCGGCCCTGATCGGGAGCGGGCCTGTAAGCTTTCGCGTTCCTTTGCAATGTGACTTTTTGAACAACTTGGCCAAGGGGGCCAGGCCTTCCCGAAGCTTCTACCACGCCCCTCTGTGATCTGTTGCACACTCGAGTTCCAAGTGCGCAAGGTTTGGGAATGATCCAGAATTCAGCTGCGAGGCAAAATGGAATTCACGCCAGTCATGTTGCATTCACTGGCCCATCTCCCGAAAAGCGAGACCCGGCCGAGGTGTCGAGACATCGAGTGCCCGGGGCCCACACCCAAGAGGCGCCAGAACCCTTTGCAGCTCGGCTTCAGCAGGGCCCTTGCTCTCAAAGCTCGTCTCTGCTCATCTGAAAGGGGATCAGTCTTCAGGATGGGCGGCTTTCATATCCCGGCCTCGCCTTATGCTGGATGCCCAGGTACCTTGACTTCCTGCCCGCTTTCATCAGTGTTCTGCCAGGACCTCAATGTGAGGCGATGTCCCGAGCTATGCAGAAGCTATTGGGTTGCTTGATTCCCCGAATTGAAGTACACCGCAAGCTGGTCCCAGGTGGCATCTGCAGGGGGTGGAGGGGAGAGGGTGGGGGCACTGCTCAGGTATGAGGCGGTGGAAGAGAACGGAAACATCTTAGATGACGACATAATGAGGATCATCTTTGATTACGAGCAGGACAGCGGCAACATGTGCGGCCATGTGCGGGATTGAGGACTGTAGTTGATCCCCCGGAAGTGCACGACGCCTGTTTCACGCTGATTGGCTTTACCAGAGGAGCTCTTCACAGACGTCGGAGGTGCTGAATTGAACTACGAAGATGAGATCAGGCCGATCGGGTAGCGAAGTTTGACAGCTCATCGGGGTTCAGAGTCTTCCCAGCGAAAGCCGCGCCACCCCCAGCTTCCCAGTGACGACGTATTCCACAATCTGCGGCCTGTGATTACTCCCGCAGGAGTTTTCTTTGCTGATCCCACGAATGCCCTACCCGATTGTCATTCGCTCGATGCTTCCGTCGCACACAAAGCAGCTCGAAGCCATCCACCGACCATTCACTGCAGCAACAGTCTTGGCACCATCCTCGATACTAGCTTACTAGATGCTTCGATACGTGCCCCATGGTGTCAGAAGTCCCAAGCCCGAACTTGCTTGAGGCCATCTCCATGGACCGAGGAGCAGAACTCTTTGTCCTGTGGCTGGGGTGGGCTTGCAGCCTTTGGATCCGTCACTTGAGTCTGCTGTAAATACATGAGTTTGGGGGGGTGTTTGTCTAACGATTTGAGCTGCAAACTGGGGCACGGGTGTGGGTCACAACGTCAAGTCAACAGGGTTGAAGGAGCCGGGAAGAGCTTCGGGAGTTGCATGTCACTCTGCTGGCGAAGACACTTCGTGTCCGCCGTGTTGCAGAGACACACATCTCCCCTTAGCCAGTAGCCATGATGAATGCCTTGTAGAGTACTTCGTGAGAGACGCGCGCGGCTGGCTCCATGTGCATGTTGCTTTGGCTAAACGTTCCAGGCCAGACGTTGGCTGGGCATCTCGATCTTGAGACAAGAACCGGAAGCACCTGCAACCCCAAGTTGAAGCATCAATCTCGAATGGAGGGGGCAAAATGCAGCTGCAGGACCCTAGAGCCACAGCGGTAAAGCCTGGACAGGACTGGTGCTTGATGAGCCATCCATCACACGGTTACGGCGAGCCGAAGTGTGCGTCTGGCGTTGGCTTCGGTCACATGCATCCTGGGCGAAAACTAGGGGGCAAAAAGGAAGAGAGAAATTCAAGGGGGCTGGTCGGATGTTCGCAGCTGAACCGAGCTCAGCCGCTCATAGAAATAGGGAAGTTCAGCCTTCACTTTGCATCTGCTTGTGTTCCTTTCCCATGACAGCGTGCACCTGACATTGCTAAGGTTCACCCTCAATGATGCTGGCCGCCGCTTGTCATACCATGGCAGATGCCACAAGAAACGGCAGTCCCTGTGACCGTTTCTGATGGTGGCAGTGCTTGGGGGATTCGGCGAAAAGGTCGGGAGGATCAGCCCTCCAGAACCTGCTTAGCTCAGCAGCTCAGCCGGCTGAACTCAGGCGAGACAATCAAGAACCAGGCGCTTGCGGGCCACAATTACCTCGGGCTCGCCGGAATGATGGCATGCATCTGCTGCTGGCCTGACCTAGAACAGGTGATGTTGTTACAGCTCACAGGCATGTGGCACAGGGTCCAAGACCAATGCCAAGACGTCTCGGAGTCCAGCCCAGGCCAAAACGAAGAGACCTGCCTCGTTTGCAACGCGGACGGATCCATGAAGGGTGCTCCCCCAGGCCGGAGACCAGTGGCTGGCGGTGAATTGCAAGTCATCGGTGGGAACGAGGGCTTTCAGGGGCATCCCCTCTCCCTGGTCTGCTCTTGCAACTAAGGCGACGAGGCTTCGGGCAAGACAGAACCAAACATAGATCGTAGAAGTGGCGTCCTTACTGTCAGGAGGACCGCAAAAAAAGGTATCCCTGACTTCAACCACCTCCCATTCAACGTAGACCACCCCTAAGCTAGGGCCCCTAAGCGTTTTGCCTCGAAGCATAGCGCACCAATCTTTCGCCTTTGACTAAAGGTTGCCGTGAAGCTGCCTGCTTGACAGCTGATCCGAAGACAGCTTGGCCAGCTTCAGCCCCTCGGCTTGCCGGACCAGGAGCACTCTCTCGCCGACCATGCGCAACGATTTCGGTTCTTCTCAGTCATGGGCAGCGATCTCGCATTCAGTCAGGGTGGGTGCCTGCTGAGATTTTCTAACTTCACGCCAAGTCTTCACACTTCACACCCCTTGCTTGGTCGCTCCTGTTCGCAGAGGCAGGAGAGCGAGAAGAAATGTAGTATCGTACAACATTGTTCAGTGTAGAGTCAGCTCCTGCCTGTGGATAGGATGGCGTTGGATGCGATATGTTTTGATGTCCCGAGATCCAAACCTGCATCAACGACTGGAAGAACAACGTGATCAGCATGTCCCAGGCAGGTGGTCTCCGGATTTCTGACGGCGCTCGGTGGAATAGGGTTTTCTATAAGAAACTGGCATGTCTGGGATGTTTGTCATTGTCAGCTTCCTCTTTCCTATCGTGGTTCCCACATGCAGCCGAGCGAGTTCTTGAACGTTTCTTTGACTGCGAGGGAGTGGTACTCGTAGTTTTCACGGCCTCCCCTGGCCCTGAAGCTCGGGAGGACCAGCTTCCAAAGCCCGGGGCATAGAGAGAAAGAGGGGCGGACGAGGCTTTGATCCGAGAGAAAGAGTACAAAACGAGAGAGTGCCTTCGAAGGCCGCAGCGACTGGGCCGACGACAACCACGACTCCCTGCAGAAATCCATCAGGTTTTGGGTTCAGGATTTGGCTCTTAGCGGTGTTTTGTTTCATAAATAAATGTCTAGTGCATCTGAGCTGCAACCGAATCTTTGCCTCCCTGATCCGCCCTGGCGAACTCTATCCATGTCCTTGGTTTGTTGGTTGAGCCTTTGGCAGTTCTGTCGCTCAGTTCCAGAGTCCCGGAGCTGAAACGTTGCCGGCACGACACCCGGGCGTCGGAAGAATTCTAACGGACCTCCCAAGAAGCCTTCTAGAAAACATGCGTTCTGTTTGGGAAGTGAGGGGTGCCTGTTGGAGGCGTCCTTGTAATAAGAATCCGTTGTAAATTAAATAAGTAGTGCTTGATACTAGCAGTTTAAACGGGCCCGTACTGAGGACGACGCTGGATCCGACTTCCGCCCTGGGGCAGTTCTGTGCTGAGACCAGTGGCCGCAGTTTCGGATCCTCGGCGGGCACATGGAAAGCTGTGTGTTTGTGCATTTGTCTACATCTCTGCATATGCATACATATAAACATACATAAATTTTGAATATTGGTGTCCCATATGTATACTGTACAGGTCCGTACCAGTTAGCTTGTGGAGCGTGTGCGTCGACACGTTTCGGGTTTGGGATCGCGACCGCTTCGGCGAAGCCAGGGGAGCCACTGCTTCTGCAATACTCTGGAACGTTGATGGGTCTTATGTGTTGTTGGTGGGGTGTTGTGGTCAAGGTTAGCGGGAGTGCATTGCAGAGTTGATCAGTGTAAGACGCGAAATAAGTAGAAGGCAGTGCAAACTGTTTGCAAGAAAGCCCCAGTGTGTTCCAGCATATTGGGTACCCTGGTTCAGTTGGGTCCTTTCTTGCTCGTAGGGTTTCCTGGCAGCTCAAACTGGATAGCTCGTCGTACCTGAGACACACAATGGGGTTTGTGAAGCGTCTGGACATGTGTCGTTTGCAGGACCCCCGACACCCACTGGGCCACTCAACATGATGCTGCTTCTTGGACTTGAGGTTGAAGCCCTGCTTGGGCCATGCCTTGCTGTGCACACTTGTGTGTGGTCGGACACGCCTGTATGAACGAACCAGCATGTATGCACATGTGTAGTATGTATGTAGAGCAACTAAAACCAAAGTGTTAGTGACCCTCGTGTGTCGTCGATGGGTTTATTGTTGGTTTGCGACATGACCGGGACATGGATTCACAGACATGACACAGGTTAGAAGACCACAAAAACCACTACAAAAACCCCGATATGCACATATGCAGGGAGGCATGGTGCGACATGTGGCTGCAGATGTTGGTTTGGAGATACGAACATGGCAGGGACATTTGGCTGTAATACCCTGAAGCCTGGGACCCCAACTTGCGCATCAGATCTCTGCTGGCCATGACCTTTTGCATCCGCAAACAGTCGCGCGAGAGCACGAAAAAGTGGTGGAACGGCCATGTCAGGAGCCATAGCTGTAGATTAGCTTCATATGATCTTCACACCGGTCCATTCAAAACCAGAGCTGCGCAACAGACTTCTGCTCAGGCTGAACATGCTGGAGCAGACTATGTTCAACACCATCATGGCAGGATGTGGCTCGGTCTGCATCTGTGCGCGGCAGCGATCACAGATCTTCAGGCACTTTCGGCTTGCTTCCGCTTGAAAGCCATTCGTCTCAAGCCTTTGCGGAACCTGTAACCTGGTCTAAAAAAGCCCAGTGAGGTCGTCTGTAGCAGTCGACAAGCCGAGACTTACGTGTACTACTCAGGGCTTGGAGCTATGGAGTTACTGGACGCGTTCTGCAGAAGCCCAAGCTTCAGCGCTAGGACCTCTCCAAGCCTCCATCCGCAAAGCTAACTGTCAGCTGCAAAGCCTGGAACGCCGAATCCGAGTTGAAGTTCGAAGCTGCAGTCCAACCTTCCTCAGGTTCGACCAACATGACTTGTGGGTGACTCGACTAGCAAAGTTCTGCTGACGCCCACTGCGTCGCGGGTAGGTCTTAACGTTGCTTTGCCGTGCCAAGCTCCTGGCCCAAAGCTCCCACGCAGGAGATCTTGCTGATGAGGATAATCGTGGGGTTGTGGTGTTGTGGAACATTTGGAAACTTGCAGCTGCATGCAGCACTGTGTATGCTACGGCTACGTCATGCTGAAAGCCGCCGTGCTTGCGCTATTCTTGCTGCTGCAAGTGGATTGCCAGAGAACATAGCTCCTCATAAAGTCCAAGCTGCGAATGCCTGAGTCTGTGCTGGTTTGCTGGTGTGGGGAAGTCGTATGTGTTCAAAATCCAGCGTTGTGAGGTGGTCGCCGCCGTCCCTTGCTTGCAAGATGCAGCCAAGCGTCGCACCCCTGAATGTTCTCTGCGCAAGCCAAGGCGTAGTCGTAGGCTGCTTGCAGACCATGCTAGTTCGAGCAGTGTGGTGTCCAGGCCGTATAGAGTCGCAAACCCCAGTTCAATGTGGAATCCTCAGTTTTTGCTGAGGGGAACCCACCAAATTTGCAGCTCCACCGCCTACTACCCCGCCACGGACGCGACGGGGCTTGTGACAGGTGCGGCCAAGGAGGCACGCCAAAGATTTTTGTCGGTCTAACTGCTTTCCCTCGATGCGTCTTAGCATGGAAAGAACCCCAACAATGAGACTATGAGACCACAAGTGGAACTAAGCTCCCGCAAGCAGGGAGAGGAAGGACAGCCGAGTCCCTTCAGGACAAGTGGCCACCGGGTGAATCTGAACGCTTAGAGATGTAAACTCAGGTGCCTGTTCATGCCTGGGTCCCACCCCTCATTGTGTTTGAAGCCCCTTTGCTTTGCAGGCCATCTTGGAAAAGATGTGCGACCCATCGCTTCCGCTGTGGTGGAATGCCAAGCACACCGACTGCACATGAAGTTGGCTGAAGATGGTCCTAGGGTTGTCAAGTTGTGTTCCGGAAACGCTGCAGCTGCTTCGCATGGCGAGGGGACGAAATTAGGCCAGTTAGAAGCTGTGGCTTCCGAGTCTCGGCCAGACCTTTGTGGGGCCATTTGTGGGGTGTCCCAAGCCCACTTCGTAATGTGAGCCCCAAGTGGGGAATCGTGTTTGCTAGGCTTCAAAGGGTCTGGGAGTTAACCAGTCTGACGGATCTTATGAGTGAGGCCTGAGGGGCACGCTCCAATTTTCTACGTTGGCCGCACCTAACTCAGGGTTTTAACCTGTGGCCTCGAGTCCAGACTCTGGAAGGACACAAGAGGACAGTTCCTTCTATCAACAAGCGATTGCATTTCACAGCGTGTACTGTCGAGTATTAAGCTTGAAGTTTTTTGACGCGCGACCGACGACAAGGAACACCTTCATGCCCATTAGCTTCGATTGCGAAGCCCGCAGCTTGGCAAGCTCTGCTAGTTCCAGGTCCTGGTGCATGTCAAGCACCACCTATTTGCTTTGCGAAGCATTCTGCAGGATGGGGTGACTTCAGGTAAGACGATAACAAACCCAAGCTTAAATCTGCACCCTGTCGCGGAAGTACGAGTCGCTACAGCCTGGGACTGGTTCAAACGGGTATTCCCGGATGCTGCGAGCTTGTGTTTAGCTGCATTCTGTCGACACAATCGCTTGGCTTCTCACAACTGTTCGCGCGACAGGTGCTGGAAGAGTAGAGCAACTCCACATTTCTATTACAACCGGCAGCTGCCCGGCCTAGTACGCCAGACCCTGCAATACAGAAGGGCAAACAGCGCCCCGAAATGCTGAGTCGGCCCTTTGCTGAGGAAAAAGCAAGTACGCGCTCTCCCGTTTCTTTGCAGGTGCAGGGGCAAAGTTGCGGTTTAGGAGTTCGGGTGAGGCTCTCGCTGTGTGGTTGCGTGCGCTTGCTTCCCTCCTTTAACGTGTCAATGCGTCGCCCGTTGGAGGCCTGGCCCCCGTGCCACTGAAATAGGGGGAAGGGGGGGGGGGGAATGGTTTCTTGCAGCCTACAGTCTCTATCTGATACACTTGCAGCGAGTCCAGTCTACAAGTCTGTGGTTCAAGGATGAGTCCGGTCCAGGTGCAAACGACCCAGATGACCAGGACGAGCAGAAGCCTTGAGCACTTCATGAGGGATGTCCGCTTGCTCATTCTCTTGGCAGGGTTCGAGGTTGCCTGGTTTGTGATACAGGACGAGGGCAAGAAGTTCCAGACCGGCTACGTCGAGGGTCGAAACGGGTGGTGTGGCGCCCGGATCAGGGTCTTAAGGGAATCGGCTTGAAAGAGATCAGAGGGCACCAGCTCCCTGAGCCTGTACCTTATGACAATTCTTATGACATTCGAGCTGTTTCCATGGTGCTCCAGAAGTTTGTGGTCTTTTTTCGCGGTTTGACTTGCCGGTTCCAATCTGGTCCAAGGGTGTCTCACGTCTTCCATACGATAGCAAAACTTAGAAGCTGTACCCCAAGACCCTCCTCCACCTGTTCGGGTTTCTCGAATACGTCATGGTGACAGGTACGCCAAGGCAGCACAGATCGAGGCTGGCAGCCGCTGTCTATTGTTTGCGATCGTCGCAGCTGCTCCCGTCTGAGCAATGTTGACACTGAGACATCTGGAGCTGAGTCTGCTCAGCTCCAGATTTTTGCAGTAGCACAGCAGGTGGGTCGCCCCACCATCCTAAAGGTAGGTTCTTGTCCAGCGTGAAGATTGTATCTTACGCTTTGCCCCCATTATAGTCAGTAAGATGGTTCGTAGTTTACGCAAAGTTCCGCAACAAGGATGCAGACAGTTATTTGGAGGCTTTGTGCAGTCCTCAGGCTTCGACAGGCATAGGGATGCTTGAGTTCGGCAGCGCCAGAGGGGACCCTTCGAAGGTAAAATAGGCTTGTGGATCAGTGTTCCATTGATGATCTTGATGATCCCTTAAGCAGAAGCCTCCTGTTGCGCCTCCGCTCCTCACCAGGCAAAGTACGAGCGCGAGCATGGAAGCAAGCTCCGCATCATGCTCTTCTCAGGCTCGCCACCGCAAGAAAAATTCGGGACTCGTCGGGGACCTCGCAGGTGCAACCCTGGTGGCCCAGTATCTTGGAATCCTGCTGGTGGATGGCTTCCTGTCCTTGGGCTCATTGGTGTTCCGCGGCTGCAGCGTGAAGGGTCCCCGACACAAGGCTTACATCCGCCATGTGGAGAACTGCCCCGTGTAAAAAGTGTGTATCAACCCCGGTTGCAGACCACTTCCCATACAAGTGCTTGAGGGACTTCTCTACGACCTGCTCTCGCGAAGATGCCCGATTGAACACGTCCGACAACTTGCCAGCCCGCAGGTCAGTCTGGGCGTACATGTGGCTGATGCTGGAGAGCGTTTTCCTGGCATCCTGTGGCATGTTCGAGCCGCTTCCCCCGACGTTCATTCAGCCTGGTTTCGCAAGTCATGGCAAGTTCCACCATAGTACCTGAAAACGAGACGCTATCAGCTGCAGCAACGGAGCTCATTCAAGTGAATGAAGCAGTAGACTTTCCCAAGGATCATTTTCTCCCTTCCAGTGGGAATGTGCCTTTGGGTGCTGGCCGCTTGGCCCCGTGCTGCCAGCTTTCGTCTCCTTTTTGCCGATCTCAGGAGGTAGCAGTACTGTGGCAGAGGTTCGGATGTCGGCAGACCCATGCATTGTGCCAGCAGAAGAGGTCGATGCAGGTGGAAGGCCTCTGCCCCCAGAGTCGTGGTTCAGCCCGAAGCCCACACCCGAACCCCTAAAGGCCCGAAAGCTTAAGCCAAACAGCCCAGATCCTCGGACAGAAGATCTTCTGGTATCAGATGCGGCCCTGGCTGAAAAGTGGGGCTTTGCAGGGTCTCCTCCAGGCTGAAATTTCGAAGCGAAGTGGTCAAGAAAGAGTGAAAACCCAGCCTCTCCTGCTTTTTGCGGTTCTGAGAGACTAGTTTCTGTGAGCTCGCCTTGAGCCTGAAGCCTGGAAAGGTTGGTGATTTACATGATCCTGGGTATCGGCGCTGACGATGCAACACGGATTGCAGTCAGACATGGTCACTTGACTCCAGGAGCCTTCAAGGCGAAGCTCTTCATCCATCTCACTTGCATGATAAGCACGTGCATATTCGAGTCCGCGAGTTTTGGTCGTGAGATTCACTCAGGTCTTCATTCTGTACGATGCCTGGCTCCAGTCAGCACACGCCGACGGTGTGAGCCGGCCACCCAGCATCCCCGAGCCTTCACGGGAGGCTAGCGCTCCTCACAGCCGAGAACATCCAAGGCCACAGCCGAACCACTCGCTTCTGCTGGGCCTATCGCCGCTCCGTTGGTGCAATGCTGGTCGCTTGGCTTCACTTCGTTCAACTTTATGCCTGGCCGCTTTCCCGCCCGAGGGACAGGAGGACCGTGGGTTGAGGCTCAGTGCAAGGAGAAGGCTTTTCACGTATTTGGTACGCACTTGCTGTGGTTCTGTCCTAACGAGTTTAACGAGAGCTTCTCAAAAGGATCTGGCAAAGCAACATGGCCACGCAATGTCGTGTGGTTGGTAGCTGTGTGGCAGGTGCCCAGACACCTCTGTAAAGGTGCGGCAAGACTAGCGGTAGTATTCACAGAATTGTCTCACAAGCTGTGCTCCAGCTCCGCAGCGTGTCTCTTCGAGGGCCCCCCTATGGAGTTCGGGAAATCGCGAGCCTTATCAATCAGAAAAGACAGGTCACCACGCTCACGACCTGTGGATCTTTCGTGCCTTTGGCTGAGTTTAGGACTGCTGGATCTGGCAGTTCAGGGTGAGGACTGGGAAAGGGCAGTCATGCGCCATAGCCGAGTAGCTTGATGCATTTTCATACTCAATCCACTACTACGCGTGACACGGTATTACTATCGGCAAAAATTTCGTCAGTAGTATCACCTTTAAAGGTGACGACGATGACTATCTATGTGTCATTGTTATTGTGTTACCACTACTATGTACGTATTGCCGCCACTAGTTGTCCGCATTATGTACATGTAGCAGTCGACAACCTGTCTCTGCTTGTCTGCAAACCACCAGTTCATCGGCGCGACCTCGCCGCTGCCTTTGGTGCAGAGTTTCTGCTGCTCGGACCGCGCCATGCTACAGTCCATTCTGTAGAGCAGCATACAGTGGAAGGAGTACACTACCAAGTTTATCCGTGTTCCAAGTTTATGGCCTCTGCTGAGGGCCTCCAGAGATCGTAAAGTGCTGGGTGGCATCGCTGTTTGCGGTTCGAGGTGTAAACCTCTTAACGACTTAGATTCGCCCACATGAGGTCAGAAATGAGCATCTGAGAGGAAGGAACACATGTCCTCGGAGTGTCCTGTGCTCTAGGCATTTTCGCCGCAGTCGTCGTCCTGGTAGACTACCTCTTCTGCACCTTGGGCAGCCTCTAAGACACAGAGTCACGGAGTCCCAAACTCAGAGATAGGCCCAGGATGGCCAAGGCCTCAGGCGCTCAGATGTCCCCTTTAGAAGGTATCAGCTTCTTCGCCTCGGCGGTCTTGGTCTACGAGGATTGGATGAAGGCTGTGCTGCTGGCAGTTTTTGCCTCCCCTAGAACCGCTGCTCTGGTAACTTGCTTTGTAGGTCCCTCATTGCCATGAAGGGGAACAGAATCCGCCACAAGCTCGGGACTTCTGCCCAGGGTGTCGGCTACTGCTGCAGCTGCTGCGGTATCCCTCTCCGGGAGCCAGGAACATGCCTCGGCTCCACGGCGGTCAGCTAAATCGGCTCTTTGAACGGTTTATAAGGGATGATTCACAAGGAGATCCGTGTTATGCTTTTGCGTCCCAAGACATGAGAAGAGAACCCCACCAACAGAGCAGCAAAGGCCGTATTTAGAGAACCCCACATGTTGATCTTCCATCCACTACGAAACGAGCCGGGTTGTTTGCGTTTGCAGGATGTTGCGAATTGGGTTGCAAAGAAGCCTGTTCACTTGATGCATACAGATGCCCTCACACCCGTGAAAAACTCGTTGGCTTGTGGCACTTTTCGTATCTACACCCTATAAACTTTAAAGCCTGTCGGAGGGTAGTCCCATCGATGCACATAAGGCCCGGGCTGCTGCTTTGGTGGTCTGCGTGCCTGCTTGTCCTGCTGCGGCAGAAGCTGGAGAGTCGGGGGGCAAGGGAGACAGACTTTCCCGACAAGAGTGCCTTGTTGGTGGGTTTAGGCGGTTTAGGTTTGTCTGAGATGGTAGCTGCTTCCGGCATGACGGCATGACGTTGTCACGCTGCAGAGCCCAACATTCTGCATAAGGCAGGCAGCCATCCTATAATCCTATGAAAAGGCGTGAGTCCTACATGATAAGACCCCAGCGCACGGTCGCAGGAGAATGGTGCCGAAGCCGCCCAAGGCAGACGAACCTCCAGCTGGCTGCCGAAATTTGTGGGGTTTAGGGTTTAGGGCAGCCTTGAGACTCTACTGGTAGCTGCTGAAATGAGGCTGGGGTTCAGGGAGACGTTAAGAAGGCATTCCCGTTTTCCTGTGGGCTCAGTCATGAGTCTTTCCAAGGAGCAGCGTGCGATGGAAAAGTTCTTCGCAGGACGGGGGAGTCTGCACAGTCTGCACTAAGAAGTTACCGGGCAAAGGATATAGAAGGGCGTCGGTCGTCGTGGATGCCTCGTTGCCTTGCCTCGCAACTAGACCCTCATGTCATGCAGTATCAGCTCCAAGACCTCTCCGAAAGTTGGTTGCACATAAGCTGACGTCAGCGCTTGAAGACCTCTCCGCCAGGGCCCGCCTTCCGTGCCTGGGCTGCGCTTGTCAGCGGATCCTCTCCCAAGCGTAGGGCTCCCGAAGCTCCGATCGGAGTGGCGGACAAGAAAACGAGGCTTCTACGACAATCACAAGATCAAGCTGATCCTGTTTTGGTTGGTGGTGGTGCCTTGCATGGATAAAGAAGAACTGTGGCGGCTCTGAAGCCCGAGGTGTGCACCTACATGCGACGCTGCAGAAAGAGGTTCACATCCTAGGGATGTATGTAAAGCTTCAGTACGAGAGCGACAGAAACTGGATGCGGGGATGCCATGGCATCCCGAAAATGCGAAATCACATCTACAGCCTGTAACGGAACGGGAGTTCACCAACCATGCTGCCGTTGAAACACAGTTATGATACTGAAGCAGCTGAACACAGATGCAACTAGGTCATCGGCATGGCGACGAGCGCCGGCGTCCAGCTCCGCACCGCCAAGAAGCGTGTCGGTCCCTGAGTCATTAGTTCTTGTGGGACGGTAGGCACTGGTACTAATAGCATAGAGGCCTTCGGGGAGTTGTTCTGGAAGGATGCCGATGTGCTCTCTGGCATGTCCAACCTTGGCATTGCCGGAGGTTGAGTTGGCTACCGACTGACCTGAAGCACTTTGCTTATGGCTTATGAGATTCTGAGGCCCCGATTGGGCGAGAGAACATCGACGTCATCAAGGGCTCCTGGGCTTAAGAACTCCCCTTGACTATCCAACTTCACGGAGGAGCGAGCTTCCAGCCATGAAAGCCGGGGAGCTGTCCGTGCTGACCTCCCCCTCCCTTTCAGCCTTAGCTCCAAGGATCCGACATCCTGTTCTCGGAGCCTCTCGGCCTGTGGCGGGATGCGAGAGCTAGAAGCAGGGTTGCTGCCTGTCGCATGGGCGCACGGGTTGGGCAAGCCTTCTGGGAGAAACTGCATGCCGGGCGACCCTGTGAAAGGCTTTCACGTTCCAAAGCCAGTTGTTATTTATTCAGACACAAAGGCTAAGGTTTGTCTGAAGGGTCGTGGAGAGAGAAGTGCTGGCCGTTCAGGTTCGAGTTCTCCACTCGCCCTGTTACTGCCTCTATTGTGTTTGGCCTCAACGAAGAGAGACTTGGCTCAAAAGCAGTGTCCCATCCGATAAGCACGGCGCATCCGAGGAATCTGACCTGTCCTGTGATGTACATATGGGGAGTTAGGCTTTCCAGGTCGCTAGGTGCGGGAGGTGACTGCTCGGAGCTGTCGGAGGTCTTTTCATTGACCTTTGTTCTTACAAGAGTTCCTGAGGGAGGAAGTGGCACATTAGGAGCGTTTGTGGGTTCGTCTCCTGGGCTCCCCTGTGTGTACTGCGCATGAAGTCCATGCTGCAGAACGGACCCTAATGAACTCCACGACTTTATTCTGTGTCACGCCGACCTGCACCTAATAGACTCGCCTGGATTTTTCCGAGTCGTGAGACCGTTATCAACCGCATGGCTCAGACGCGCGTCAGCCTGTCAGATCAAAGTTCGAGCCCTGCCGCTGCCTGCGAGGTCCCCTGTGACGTGGGCGCGGGAAATCGAGGGCTCCACGACGAATGCGCCGAACTTCGGAGGAGAGCCCAGAATGGTCGCCTTTCAGTTTGGGACACAGGTCCAGTTTCGAAGTTGGAGGTGGGTTGTGTTTCGGTGGCGCTATTAACGAATGTAAGTGCACAGGTTGGGTCGCAGAGAACCCGTACCCCTGACAAGCTGTGTACCTAGACCCTACCCCAACTGAGTGACGCACCAACTGCAGATTTTTGATGGATGCATGAGTGACCCTCGTGGCCTTGCAAGGGAAAGTTTAGATTCAATTCTTCCCCCGGCCCACCCGAGCTCCCCCTAAAGCAACCGAAGAACTAATTGCCAAGGAAAACCAAATCACTGATCCCTCCACCCCTCAACCCAAGATTCGTTAGGGAAAAAGATGCCACGCAGCGGAGAGTACAGCAAAAAGCTTCAATTGTCATGAGCTCGCAAAAGCTGGCGCGGAGAAGTCGAAGGTCTTGACAGCCCCATATAGCTCAGGCTTGAGGCGCGCCTACTCGTCTAGTTGAATAGCAGGAAACAAATTCAAGTTGTCAAAGCATTCCTGCGAGTCTTCGAGTCCGAAGGAAGCTCTGCCAGCGACCTCGCAAAGCCGGCATTTCAACTCGAGCTGCTGGCGCTCCGAACGGGGGGCAGGGGAGGGATCCAAAGTGGAGTCTTACTCATTATAGGGTTTAGGGTTCATTGTGACCGTTGGGTTAAGCCTTAGAGGCCAATTGCTTGAAAGGATGTCTTCTTCTGCTCACGTAATTAGTTAGGCATTCTTGCTTGCTCTGATCTCATAAGATTGTGGATTCTAAACCTGCATAGTTAGCGGGCACCTAGGCCGGTGGCTTTCGAAGGGATCGATCCTAAGACCCCAACATCTATGGCATCCGATGCTTCTGCCCACCGCTAACAGGGGGCTCAAGTCTACATCAGATAGACTTGTTGTGCCTGTTGCCCGTGAGATCCTCGACATACACCTTTTTCCCGGTCTTTGGATGGCTTCTCTCGTGCCGCAGAAGCCTTCAACACCACCTCCGTCTTCCACATCGCCTCGTCGTCGGATGAGTGCTACGCAGCAGCGGTGCACAGCAAGATCCAAACCCAGTCCAGCTGACATGGCGGAAGTTGCAGAGTGCGCGACGAGCCCCGCGATAAGCCCATCCATCAGCATGCAGTCACATGCCGTGTCGGATTCGCAAGAAAGCAGGGTTCACTTCGAGGAAACCCCCGAGATCATTTTGTTTCTGAGTGCTGACGAGGGCGTGGCCGAGCTTCCAGTGGTGGCGGAAGAGGATGAGCGAGGCCAGGCAGACGAGAGAAATCGGCTAAGCTCCTTGAGGTCGGCGCTGCCACAGATGGGCGAGACTCCGTCGGCAGTGCCAGCTCTGCGTGACGTATGCGAAGGAGGCGGAGGTTTGGCGGACCTCGCTGCAGACACTTGGTCAGAATAAGCTTGTCATTTTCTATAGGCGAGCGGTTGCGAGACTAGATGTGCCAACCAAGGAGAGGCGAGACGCCATGCTCCTTAAACTCTTCCCTGGCATTGAGAGAGCGTGCTTGATGCGCCCTCGGCCTTCGGTCGATTGAGCAGAAAAATTCTGCTCAACTGCAATTTTCCGCCGAAAATGTACAGTAGCATCTCCATGAGCAGAGATGCGGGCGAAGATCCCTATGAGATCTAACAACTAGCACGTGTTGCCTTCTTCGTTGCCTTGAGCTTGCGCGTCTGAGTGTTAGGATGCTTGTGTGTGAGCGTGTACATTCTCGGAAAAGCCTCTATGCCGTAAACGTTGAGCACTGACACTTCCATCTTCATTTCGTCACCGCAGCTCGAGGGAGGCTTTTGAGCGGCAGCGAGCGCAAGCAGACGGCTGGCGCAGTTCTGTCCATGCCAGAGGCAGGCATACTATTTAGTTACGGAGGCCCTTGCTGGCCATCGCAATGTGAAAGCCCAATTCTGCAGACCCGAAGGATGCAGAGTGGTTCCTCTGAAGTTTTGCGTTACACAATGAGCAGCGGTTCACCGCTGCCAAAGCGCCTGTTTCACGAGGCCATGGCTTCTTCGGTACCGGGCATGCAGCCCCAAAAGGGAGCGGAGGTTTCTTCCTCCAAGCGGTGTTCAGCATGTGATGCTAGAGATTTTGATGCTATGCTGCTAGTTCAATACTTGGCACAGCAGTTCGTTTGTCTTTGGATGGGGCTACATGCGCTGCGGTTCTCTGAATGAATGATCTCTCATGTTCTGGCACTAGGCGTTATGTTCGCCCTGGTGCTGCGACGATTCGCTTCTCTGCACCCGGGACAGCCGAAAAAGAGTCTGCAGGGCGGTGGGAGTCGTGGGTTGTGGGGCCGTCGTGGAAAGGGTTTCTCAGTGCTTCAAGTCACCAGATATGTTGAGAGTTCCTATTGAGTGCATGTTTTCGTGTAGCACTTGGTCCTCCAAGGCCTTTACACGTATTATTCAGATCATCGGAAGTATCCCTGTCGTCACCATAACTATAACTATTGTTGTCCTTGTGTTTATCGACTTGGTCTGGAAGTCGTGAGCTCTGGGCAGGCTCTCTGCACTGCCGTCGACATTGGCCAGGCTTGGTGCGACCCCAAAAAACGTCAGAGCTTATCTGCATCAGTTTCCTAAGTTCTAAGACCAATTCCAGCCGAAGAAGAGCAGCCAAGAGGTTCAGACAGGATGCACCCCAGATTGCCGGAGGTGAAATTGTAGCTTCCTGGCTCTCAGTTGCCTCGTTCTGCCCGGCAGGATGCAGCAGACACACGATGCGGAAACAGGCGACTTGGCTAAAGGTGAGAATGACAACAGGAAATCCCTGGCGCTGGATACAGTAGGCAGCATGCATCCGAAGTGCAGCATGGGCGTGGGCATTTGCTTCGGACTTGCCTCTTTCAGGATTCTCAACGGATCTGTGAGAACAGTGATCCCACGCAGGAGTTCTAACTAGGCCTGCATGGCATGCTACTCTTAGCAAGCCGCTGCCAAACCAAGCCTGACCCGTCTTCAGAGCCTGCGCAGCCCGAGGGCCTGCTTGGCAAAGGGCTCACCCCTGGCGGGCAACTGTGCGGCCGGGAAAGGGAGAGAGGGAGGTCTGAGTCTACACCGCTTTAAAGGGCGGAGGGTTAGGGGTCGGTGGCACTAAGAGCTTTCGCTGTTGTCTTGAAAGGATACTAGTGCTGATAGCAGCCTGATGGCTCCTGATCGTAGAAATCCACAGCGGCAACCATGGCAACCGTGACCATCGGCAGTGGCAGGCCGACCAGACCGCCTGGCAAACGGCAGGGATCTACCTGCGGGCCATCAGGGGGCTTTTGTTGTCGGCTTTGTGTTAAGCGGCGGATTCGGGGTTCAAAGTGGGTTCATTGCAAGAAGCTCTTCGATGGGAATGGGACGGTATCATGTTCATTTCAGTTTTTTGCGGTGAAGTTGAGGCATGCGCTTTTAGGGCTGTCCCTACCCGCGACGGATCAGAAAACTGAGTCAGAGTCGCCGCGTCATGTTTCGAGGGCAGTTATGCGCGGTCTTATAGGTTCAAGGCCCAATCTCCGTTTGTTCGGGGAAGGCTTTCTCCGACGAAAGAGCCACGTCGTGTTCGGCAGGGGCTGAGCAAAGCTCAGTTGAAAAGGCGAGCCAATGACTGAGAGACTCGACAGGAAGATGAAAGCTGCGTTACCTCGCGATATTGCTTCATGGAGGAGCCTTCCCTCTCTCGGCACTCCGGGCTTCAGGGTACTGCGAAGCTCGAGGAACGTCAAAGGTTCGGGATGTCCTTTGACGGTTTTGCCGTGGAGGCCTAAATAGGTTGAGGGCTTAACCTTCGCATGCTCGTAATTGTCATCATTGTCAGGTGGTGTTTCTTGTGGTACTCCTAGCTTTCTTCTCGTTTCTGCTACTGTTGCTCGTTCTTCTTATTCCTATTCTGCTCCCTCTTGTTGTACCTCTTCTTCCTCCTCTGCTTAGTCTGCTTTCTCTGCTTCTTCCGGTGGCGGTGGAGGTGGTGGTGGTGGTGGCGGTGGTTTCGATGAGAAAGTCTAGTCCGTTCTGCCGTGGAAGCTTTGTCCTCGGCCCCGCTTTCTTGTTTTTGTTGTTTAGTTTAGTTTCGTGCTTGTTGTTTTCTCTGCTGTGCTCCTGTTTACCCGTTCTACTTGCCGCTTTTGCTTGCTTGTAGCCTTCTGCTTGTTTGTGCTTTTGCTTTTCCGCTTCTCTGCTTGTCTGCTCGCTTTTCTGTTTCTCCGCTTGTCCGCTTATGTTGGCCTTGAGGTACCTACCTTTCATCACCTCAACTATGTGTGGCGGGCTCTCTGGCGAAAGCCACAAGACATGCGAACCTCTTGTGCGCGTTGGGACAACTAGCGAAGGCGGCGGCGTGAGCAAAATGAAGACCTGTGGCACTTCAGCTCTTGCTTCAAGCTTCAATCCTTGACCCTACCTAAGTAAGGCAAGTCTGGCAAGTCAGGGCTACTTCGTCTAAAACTCTACCTCACATAAAGTGTTGTTTTGCAGCCTCTTGGAAAATAAGCAGAAAATCCAACCGAAAACGCAGTTAGGCCCAGAGCTTACTTCAGCCCCGAGTGTTTCGCGTAAGATACATGATTAGGCGGAATCGCCCAATGAGGGGGCGTGTGTAAGATGAACTGGAATCGCCGAATGAGGGGGTGTGTTTAATATACATGATGAGCCGGAGTCATCAAATCCTTCCCTCCTTCCCTGCGCCCTTACTGCTCCAACCTTTCCTGCCCCCTCCCTCCCCTCTCACAGAAGGCGAAAACAAAAACAAACAAGAATCTCGAACACAAAACAAAAAAAACTGATCATTTTGCATGCCTTGTGCTGCCCCGAAGTGGCATTTCTGATCCAGGACGTGCGCTACTTCTGGGCATCGAAGCAAGGCCAGGAGCGGCGCTACTTCTCGGAGGGAGGAAAAAAGAGCCTGACAGAATCTTCTGAAACGGGGAGAGCGCATGAGAGCCACTGTCTTGGCACCCCTCTCAAGTGCTGTGGATGTTCTCTTCGTTGGGCTGAGCAGGCTTTCTCGAGTGCATGTTGGGTGCAACTTAGGTCAGATGTTACACATCCCACACACAAACTGTACGCAGCAACCCTTAGAACACAAAACCTCTTCGCCCAGAAAGCAACTTGTCGGGCCGAAAGGTCAGTCGTTTCCGGGGTCGCTTCCAGAGTCAGCTACGGGGTGGGTCCTTGAGCCTTGGATCTCTCGTCTGTCCCATTGGGACGCAGTCTCTCAGGGATTCTTGCTTGTCATCATATATGCAGCGAAGGATACGAAGAAGACATGAGAGCTGCGCTCAGATTATTGGGGGGGGGGGGAACCAGTGTGAGACTTGGCAACCGGGAAAGAGGAAAAGCAGAAGCTGACATGAAACGTGTGACAAACTGCCACACCTTGAAGCCCGCAAGACCCTTTTCCAAGGACATAGTAACCCTAAACATGTAGGTACATCCTGAGAGCTGAACGTCTCCACAAGACATATCGGATGTGTGGTGCAAGGTACCCCTCATCGGCCTTCTACTCTCTACCCCCGGCTTGAAGCCTAGCACCATGTACAAGGTGTCCTTCGACCAAGCCCGAAACGTCCAGGCAATTGCCAGGGTCTGAACCAGACGTCGTGCTCTGCCGCAGCAGGCCCAACCCTCGTCCGGGTTTGTGCATCGAACCTGCTCTGTTCTGGCTTGGACGCTGGTGAAACATTGGTGTCAGAGCACCTGTCATGGCTACGTTCCTGTTATGACTCTCGTTTATCAATGAAGTCGGTGCCCAGATGTAGCACCAGGCGACTTTAAATGATAGCTCCCCTGAAAGCTCAGGCTGCGCGTACTCGACCACCACAGTTCCACCAGGTTGCAACCTGGCCCGCACTGGCCGGGCTGGTGTGGTTGCTTCCTTGAGGAGGTACTCCTGTAGAAACAATCGTTTATTACAGAGAGACTTTCCCTGCGCATGTTGCTGTTTGCAGTGACTCGTGCGCCCTGCGAGTCATCAGAGACCGAGGCCTTTCATTGGCTTTCATTTCAGCCTGTTCTGTAGTGGGTATGTCCAGACTACTCTGAGTTCTCGCTTCCTCTGTGTTTCGTAGATTAGGATTAGGAGTTGCAAGTCGGGGGGTGCTTCTGGCAAGGATCTTTAGGTCCTACAGGTGCAGTTCGGGTCGCTTTACGTGCCCTTCGTATTCTGTGGAGAGACAAAGGCTACTCCACGACGGATCCGCTCAGCTTCTCGGCTGAAGATGCAGAGGGTGCTCGGATCAGCTACGCACAGCTGTGCTAGGTGCAGCGCCCTGCCTCCCCATGCCGCCTTCTAGTTGAAAACCTTGGGTCCTGCCACACTGCCACGGGTTTCAGCTTGAGGGCGAGCGGAGGTCTGTGGCGTGATTGGAACTGCGAATTGAATCTGTGTGTGTGTGTAGAGTAACACAAAGCAAAAGGTGAGGGCGAGAATGGCAAGAAGTTGTTTGAGCATGGACCCCGCACAGCAGAAAGCTAGTTTGAGGCTACCCAGGGCTGTCCGAGACTGAGTTCATCCAGCTGCTCTCTGATCCGTGGCCTGGCACGAAGGAGCTGGCGAACACTGGCTTGGATCCTTCCGAATCCCTTCTGAGCTTCTGAAGCTCATCGAAGCGAAGCAACCACAGCAGCCTGTAGATGCACGTGACCAACACTCCACAAAGCAAATATGTAGATGCTCACAGCTTTGGCAGATACTGGTCGCAGGTCTTCGACTGATCCGACGATGACCGGGTGGGAGGCGTACCTGGAATTGAAGTCGAACTACCTGAGGAGATGCCATAGACCGAAACATCCTTGATCCTTGTTCTCCTTGTCCATGTCGAAAGCCTAGGTCACTCCGAAGCACAGATCTGCACATTAGGCTGACCTCCTTGTGCTTCAGATGAGCCATCTCGTTCGAAAGACTTTGAAGCGACAGAAAGCTCCAGAAGACTTTAAAACAGCAATGTGTGGTGCCCTCGAGGAGTGTGAACCGCCGGTACGAAGCTGACTTCGCAGCTGCTCGGTCAGAAATGAGAACTCTATGCTGCGTCGAGTGCGAGTGCTAAAAAACGTGGCGACTGAATCCGGCTTGATGGATATGGGCTGCATATGTGAGATGGGACCCGCTCGTCAACCGCGCCCGGCGTCAGCCCTCCTCCTGACAACCTTCGAGCACATCGTTCGCTCAAGCAGCTCACCGTGGTGATTGGATCACTATCTCGAAAAAGCGTGACAGTGGTCTCAAAGGCTCTCGGTCGTGGCCCTGAACAGACAGCTGGGCCAGTGGGTTGCTGCACACTGCATGGTGACTGTGAAGCTCCGTGCTTTTCTGTCTGGTGCCCGCTGACCAGCTGAGGCCCAATACACCGGCGTCCGGCTCAACTCCGCAAAGACAGCCACTTGCCTCCAAGACTTGCTTGGTTGCAATTGGCTGCGGCAGTCTCAGATGCGCAGTGCTTGATACGCGGCCTAGGAAATCAAAAGCGGAACCTGGGCTCTAAGACACCTCCAAAAACTTGGGGCCGGCTCGATAAGGCCATCCAGTTCGCTTGGATCAGCTTCAATGCGACCTTCCCGCGTGAGCTGCTGGGCCAGCCAGTACCTGCTGTTTGTCATGGTCATTGGCGGCCACACTTCTTACATGTTCAGCTTACCGCCAACTTGATTGGTGCAGCTTGTGAATGCTTGTTGTTACTGTTACGGGTTATGTCAGTCGAGCCTTTGCAGTCTCGAGTGGCAACTCAGGAACACGGTGGATGAGGCGAACGAATGGTACAACCGATGGCAGACCTTCAAGGACAGAGCTCTCCTGCCGTGGCGCTTGCGGGGTGAGTGAGCATCCTACTACGGCGCCACTTTGTCACTTCAAGATGTCCATTGGAAGATGTCATGCACAGGGTGTACTGTTGTGTCCTAGTGCAAGGGGAATGGTTGTGTGCCGCACCGCACGGGTGCCTTTGCTGTGAATTGTGTTATGCTCTTCGTCCACCTGCCTGTGGGACTTCCCTTGGGTGTGTCCTTCTCTCAGCTCCGCCAGCAATTTAAAGGCAAAGCGGCCTAATAAGTTAGTGTGGATGTTGCCTGGCAGCCCTAAGCTACACAGTGGCGCTTGCGGCGGGCTCAAACCTTCCCAGTTTCTTGCATTCTTGACGCAAGCTATCTTGGGCCTTGAGTCACACCATCCTGAGCCGGTGAGCGCCAAAGAGCCATCTTGCACGCAGGACCTCTGGGCACCAAATCTGGGCGGCTTCCAGACACCCTGCTGCAGCAACGTCTGCCGGTGCCAGAACGGGCAACATCGCTTCATGATATGATTCCTTGTCCTACCACATCCTGGCACTTGCCTCCCAGGTCTAGGTTCCTGATCTGCTTTTCAGGGCTGAGTGCGCCACATCTCTTCGGGCTGGAGGGTCCTCGGAGTTCCAAGAATGGCAGTAGTGAGTAGCATTGATGCCTTGCATGTATGAGGACGGCCGAGCTCTACCTGTCCAGTCCTCAGCACGGAACCAACCAACAGTCTTGCCTTTGCTGGGTTTCTTACGCCGTGGTGTCAGGAACCTGCTTGTAAGAACCACTTGGTTCCTATATTTGGCCTGGTACCGTGGCGTGTGTGTGTGTGTATCCGGCTCGGCTCATAGAGTCAGGGGGGTTCTCGATCAGATTCGATCAGGTCCTAGATTAGATTGCTTATGTTGCCAGGTTCCTGGTGACCCAGAACGAGATGGTGAAAGCCGCCACCATGGGCATTGGCTTGTCCCTCCTCGTTTGCTTCATTGTGCTCTTGCTACCTGCCTGACTCCTCAGAGCCCTAAAGCCTCCCCATTGGTCGCCCCGCTCCTTCTAGAGGATGGAACACGTCTACCAGGTGCCTGCCGGACGGTCCAAGAGTGAAATTGAACATGCACCAGGCATAGTGATCGGAGATGCCAGCAAACAGCCCCAAACCGCGAAGCCATAAAAGGTGCCTAATGCCCGAAAGCTTTAACCCTTCGATAGCCGAGGCTGACAACTTGGAACTGGTGGACCTCCACTTTGGGGCTTATATGCACCTGGGCACTTTGTTGGGCTTCTAGATCGTTCGGATTGAGGGGGGAAAGGGCCTCTGCATGGCAGTTTGGGAGGGGGTATTAAGCACGATCTGCTCATGCCGAAGCCTCGCTCATGCATCTTGTTCACTGCGAGCTCTTTGTAAGGTATCATCTGTATCACCGCCACCTTCCTGGGTGTTGTCCCACTGCTTGGCTGGAGTTTGGGCGAGAACGAGTGTATCTCGGCAGCCACAAATCTCAGGCCCACCTCCGTTTCCTGAAGCTCTTGCGTTCCATGTGGCTTCGGATGTGCGCTGGTGGAGCTCTTGACTTTTAGCCTAGTTAATCCTCGCGGCTGATCCTGAGGCATTTTTATGATCGCAACGGTCGGCTTGTCTGTGGATTATACAGCCGCTGGGCTGATGCAGGGAAACTTCCCTGGCCGCTTGTGACTGCATGCCTTTGCTCGATGTTTCGTGGGGCGCATGACGGAAAGACTTGCTAAGGCTGCTAAGTCCAAGCTCAACGTCCTCTGAAGTATAGCGGGTACCTAGTGTTCGCGCAGTCGGCCACCTTCTTGCTCTCTGCGACCTGAGACACTCAGTGCAGTAGTCAGGTACGGGGCTCAACGCAAAAAAAATAGTCAGTTAATGTTATATCCAAGCCGCTGGTCGGAGATGATCCAGATGTAGATATGAATATGGGTACAAATGGGCAGAACCCAAGCCGTTCCAGGTCTGCAAATCGTGCCTCCGAAAGTTGCATGATGTTGTCTATAGGCAGCAAGTTGTTATTCCTCGTTTCTAGTTCAATGGGTATACACTGGAGCGGAGGAAGCGAATCTTGTGGTACACGTCAGATGTGGTAGCATCATGGTCGGGCAAGCACTCCTGGGAACCCCAATCGTATGCATCTTTTCAGGTGCACATGCTCCACGCGTACAACAACACCCCAGCGAAGACACGCACTGCCAGGGTCGGGGACCGGCAGTTCGGATCTCTTCGGTCAAGAGGGGCGCATACGTCGGGCTTAGATTAGTTTCTGGACTTCGAAGGTTTGGCTGCAAAATGTGATCTCCATTTCCGGTTCCGATCCGTCTTCATGACATACCACACGCAAGTTCTCGCTTGTAGCGCTTTTCCTGCTGTGGATGTGGAGGCCCATGCAGCTCTTGAAGAGATGGGCATCTCGGCCCCTTGGCACGGCAGCTGGGAGCCTTGTATCTGACCAAACACCCGAGCCGAGAGCTCGGACGCCTCGAGACATGTCCGAAGACAGTCCCTCTGTCGCTGCTCGGATGCTTTTGCTTCCTCAGAGCGCACCATGGGATGGAACACGAGGTAGCGAATTCAGCCATCACCACGCTCTTTGCTGCAGCCATGCTTTTCGCTTGTACCTTGGCTCTCGTGGCAATTTATGGTTTGAAGCCTTAAGATACGCTTCCCGGTCATGTTCTTGGGTTGTTTTCACTACCCGTGACCCCGATGGCAGGGATCTCTTCAAGACACTGTAAGCACTCGCAAAGCATGTAGCGTGTGCGCTTATGCCTTTCGCGGGAAGGCGGCTTCTACTTCTTCTTCCAGTTCGGAGGCTGGGCCAAGGGCTCCCAACCCGAGCTGGAAACACTGCGGGGCAGATGACACTCTGATCACGAATCCTCGAAGAACCAAACTGCACTCCCACAGCAGCAAAGTCTGGAAACAAGGAAGAGCCTTCACCTCTACAATCAGATGTGTACGAGGTTCCTTCCTAAGCCATGGGATTTCCTTGCGTCGCAAGCTCGGCGACTTGGTCCAGGTAGCGTTTCCCCCCCAACAAAATGATGCATAGATATCATAGCTGCGGCGGCAGAACGCAACGCGTATCGCACCTTGGTCCGTGCAGATGCTGTCAGATCTTCGGGGCCGAGAGTTCGGGAGTTGGTCTTTGGTGCCGCCCCGCACACGCTCAGAAATGACAAAGTCTGCCGTCAAGCGGATCTCAAGCCGTGACTTCCTTTCGGCACACTCGAAGCTTCAGACTTCAGCTTTGAGGCGCATGGATGCAGAGTGTGCGAAAGACCGCCTCTCACGCCAGCAGGCTTCATCTTCATGGTCATCGGCCTTTCGATTCTCATGTCGACCAACTTCCTGATGCCGCTGTCCCCTGCTTGCACAAGTTCAAACCACACTCTTGGCACCCGAGTTAGTAGACATACGTACCCTGTGGAGCGGACTGCATGTCAGTGCTCAGCCTCTTGGAGTTGTCTTCCCGAGCGTATCTAGTTCCGAGTGCCAGCGCAGGCTCATGCTGATCGGCCCTGAGAACGACCAGGGCACCATCTTCAGTGGTTTGGCGACAGATATCCATACGATTTGAGTATGGGGTGTATTCTTGCTAGTGACAGGATCTGTTCTCCCTGGTGAATCGTTCACGCTACGGCGAAGCGAAAACCAACGGAGCCGTCCTGTGCCGAATCAGGCATGCCCAAGCGCACTACCGTCCAGAAGATTCAAGAGTGAAGCCGTGAAGCCTCACCAGCCGCAGCCGAGAGAACAGCGAGGGTATTGCGGTAGAAGCCGACACAGTGCTAGACTCCAGACTCATCCAATTTGGATTATGATTAGAACAGGGGCAATCTTTTTGCCGGGCTTGTCTATGTTGGCCAACATGACTTCGTTCGTTACAAGATCCCTACTAGCTGTTAGAAGCCGTGAGAATGAGAATGGATTCTCGCTTGGCATGGGAGTCTTGTGAGTTTACATATCTTTGGACGCTGACGGCCTACCCTCGCACCTAGAGGAACGTTTTTGTCAGCGGCACACGCGAGCCACAAAGTGGGAGAGCTGCCATGTTAGTGCCCGAATAGTCTTGAGAGGACACTACCCACAAGGAGTCTGCCAGCCAGTAGCAACCGCAGACCGTCAACACTGGTTCACCGAACAATCAGAGGCACTTTCAAGGTGGCTGTCACTTCACGTGTCCGCAACGAGTTGTAAGAATGTCTCAAACGTTTATACAGCGCATGGTCGTCCAAGCTTGTCTTCGGGTGCTCTGTTTCTTGGAGATTCACATGCTGAGGAGTGTAGTGTTGGCAGGATGAGGAAGAGCCTACATGTCGCGCAGAAAATCCCGACCCTGGAATAGGTTATGCAACAAAAGCTACCCCACGGTTCAGGGTCAAGTGGAATTCTAGAAGCACCCCGGCCCCAGCACAGTCGTAGTCCCAGCAAAGGTTCTTCGGAGCATTGGCCCGAAATGCTTTCACTTTCCCAGTAAAGTTGTATATCCCTCTGAAATCTTGAACATAAACTTATAGGATGTTTCTCAGGTCTTATATAGGGGTCCTGTCAGGTTTCCTTACACTTTGAGACGTTGCCAGGGTGAGCTGGAGCCGAGATCTTCGGCCCCTGGTAGGCGGCTCCTTCAGCGGTGCGGAAAGAGCATGCTGGTTCCTCAAAACATCTGAAGGTTTTGGTAATATATAGTATAAATTATGATATATAGGGTTTTCAGTCCGGGTGTAAAAGCGTTCAGGGTTTAGGGAGGCCTTAGGGCTCTAAAGCTCTAGGGCCTGGACCATAATGCCTGCCAGTCGTGTCTGAAGACTAAGAAATAGTTGCAATGTCCCCTTCGAGTCCCACATGTTATGTGTGGTACCCCGAGACCCGTGCTGAAGTTATGAGTTAAAGGCCTTAGATTATTACTGCTGGCCTTGTGCGTCTGAGCACCATTCCCGGATGATGGCATAGAGTTCTCAAATCGATGTGACCCGAAATCCGCACTCTCGCTCCGCTGGTTTGTTAGGTGCTCCTAGGGACCCTTTTCCCGCTTTGCGGGGAGCTTGGATGTGAGGCTCTAACCAAGAGCACTTGGACTTAATATAGGGGCCTTGACAGTTCAACAGGGGCATATTAGGTTCATAACTAGTAGGGGTATAGTTAAACAGACGATAAGGGGATATTCTCATTTAATTCTTACCAATGAGTAAGACGCGTGGTGTAGCCGCGGCCCTAAACTGGATCTCGAGCTTGGCTCCAGAGCCCCACATTCACATATTTTCACATCTGCATGATGTGGCGCGAGAGGCTGTTGGGAGCTAGCAGGGTCCAGTGCGGACCGGTGCTTGTTCCGAGCGCGCCAACCTCTAAGTTTCCGCGAGCGCTTACCTGAGGGTTGGGTTAGGAGTGCTTTTTTGATTGGGGTTTGGAGTTTGGGGCTGCATATTTCCCATCGCCTGCTTAATGAACTAATGGCTCCTGTCTGATTGCGTTTACAAAAGACCTGATGGAATGAGGCTTCATTAGGAACTGAAGGCTACATCGCAGAGCAGGTGATGTTGTTCTACAGAATTCGGCCAAAGGACAGCTGTTTGTTGACTCTCTGTCAATGAACACCTTGCAATATCTTGAAGTGGGCGTCTTTGTCAAAAACACTCGGAGATAGCACGGAAGGTAAGCAGCAACCCTCAGGCAGTTTTCCTCCGGCAAGCAGAGGGGGTCTCCAAAGGCGAACCCTGTGACTGCAAGCCCGGGGCTATGCAAAAGAATCTGAAGTCTGTGAAGTCTGCGTCTCGCGAAGTGCAAGGCTTGCTTTGGCACTAAGCACTCGAAATAGAGCCAAAATGGCAGGAGCCACACCAACCAAGAGTTTCAGCTCTCCAAGGTTTGGTCTTGCCCGCTTACGGCTCGGATGCTCCCTTAGAAGGGGGGGGGGGGGTCTTACAATGTCCTACAGTCCTACACAGGGCGTGGAGTTCCGCAGTGCCAAAACCAACGCGACTTCGCAAGACTTCATCGCCCGTTTCTGTCAGTCCTCGGAAGCCCAGGTGTGCCGCCGGAGGGGAAGTGGGTGTCCTTAGTATTCTGCATCGTGCAGAAGGAGCGGCTTGTTGCGACGGATTCAAGCTAAACCCTGGAGGTGTAGGACAGGCTGATTTGGCGCGAGGTCAACATTCCGTAGGCACAAGGCTGAACACTCGTCAGATGGAGCAAGGTACGTATACCAAACGGGTTTCCTGTGATTTTCAGCAGCTGAGCTGTGGTCCGGTTCATTGTGCGGGTTGGCCGAAGGCCGAGCCCACACCTGAGCCTGGCTTTCGAGGTGTTGGCATGCCAACCTCGGCAATTCCCCTCGGAAAAAGAAGCCGACATCCCGGGTCCTCCAAAACCACAAGAAACCCCTTACGACGGCACTGTCTGGTGTGCGAGTGTGTGCGCGCTTGCATACATGAAGGAAACCTTTTCGCACAGGGAAAGGCCAGAGTCCAGAGACGGCACAGGATCCACGATGCAGGGTCCCAGAGCCCAGAGCGACACCCATCCCGCTCCATAGGATCTGGCGCTTGCGCAGTTGGGTCTTTGGCAGTTTCTGATTTCTGGCCTCCAAAACCGAGGAAGGCTGCCCTGATGTGTCTCAGCTTTGCCCATGCGCTGGCACAGACAGAGGCAACGAAGGGATGGCGGTGCAGTGA